ATTCTACGCCCATAAATGAGATTGCTTCACGTTTTTCTTTTTAAAGGGAATCAACAAAGAACATATGCAAAGTTTAGAACAATCGAACACTTACAATATGTAAGTAGATTATGTAACTAAAAATAAGAATGCATGTAACATCAAGTGTTCAAGTGCTAATTCTAACCAAAATTGAGAATATAATATAAAATATACATAGAAATCCGTTTTAAGATTGTTGAAAATTGGTGTTTTAATTATATTCCGTTAATAAAAAACACGTGCACGCAAATACGATAAAAAAATAACGTATTGGTGCAAAATATTGGATAGAGTTTTGACTTATCGAATTCAAGATACGTGCATAAAAGTATGCAAAGTGACGACTTAATGATGCGTAGAAACCGAAAGGAGATGAATTAAAGCGACGTATGTAAATGCAAATCTTTCTAAGATGGATTTGTCCCCCGCATTGGTGATTACATGACCAAATAGACATCCTTCTCCCAAAATATAATTTTTTTTCCAAAATTAATATAACACAATATTAATTATGTTGGACGAACCAACGTTTGATTGTACTGTTCTAGAACGGAAGATATCGAATACTAATATCGAACACGAAACTCAAAAATAATTTGAAAATTATTTTGATGTAATTTGGAAAGGGAAAGAATTAAAAAATTAATTATATAGATTTGATTTATAGTGAAGAAAATAGAATTTTGAGGGTCCTATTTATAGATTTTCACGCTTCTCTTAGAATTATCGCATTTTTTTGACATAAATTAAATCCAATAATAGATCACACCATTTCAAATTGATGATCTAGATTAACCTATTCCAAAATAACATAACTCTTTGATATGCATCATTTGCAATTGAAGAGGTGCAACTAGCCATCGCCCTAATTGAAAACTTTTCCAATTCACACCTATGAAAAATGATTGTGGTACATGTACATAATGATTTTACATACATATGTTGTGGTGAACTATGATTGGGTCAGAATTTTTTGAATTAAATAAAAAAAATTCTTTACTCTCTTTTTGATATTTCATCGGTATGTAAATTATTATGTAACTCCATTATGTACCTAGCACTATTCATCCCGTAATTCCAACACAAATTACCCCCAAAAGTTGTTGAGTGGATTGGGAAAAGGTTTTCTTTCAAATATTTTATCTAAGTTTAAAGGTTTTTTGTTGCTCCTAATTCTTAAGGCGTGTCTCTCTCTACACGCACACATATATGGGATACTAGGGTTTCTGAAGCATCATGTATAGAGTTGGAAACTTAGAAGCTACATTTGTTAATCAGAAAAAGGAACCCTAAAGTGTTCGCTGTTCACTTTATTTAGGGTTGTATATGATTTGGTTCTTCTATTTTATTTTTTCTCATTTTCATATGCAGTTAAATGAAGAATTCTGTTTATGCCGACTCTCCAAATAGTCAAAATGCATCAGGTTATTTGACATGCGGCCATTAGAAGCGATGGAATCAGGTTATCGACCGATGACGCACCACCTGCAAGATCATAATAATTAGGCGGCGAAGGTAGCTCCAGAAAAATGGAGAAACTTTTAGAGTGAAGAGTGTATGGTTGTTTAGGAATTAATAAAGACGGGAAAATTGAGTATGGAAGGGATTTAATGTCTCTTGTAATGTCAAGTCGTGAGTATAAAGTGAGTCGACTTGAGCCATGTCCAATGTGGATTTAGTACTTGCAAATGTTTATTTTTGATTTTCTTGACGAAAAGATGGAA